TCTTCCATCCATTCTTCCAACCATCCATCCATCCATCCATTCTTCCATCCATCCATCCGTCCATTCTTCCATCCATTCATCTGTCCATTCTTCCAACCATCCATTCTTCCATCCATTCATCTGTCCATTCTTCCATCCATTCTTCCAACTATCCATCCATCCGTCCATTCTTCCATCCATTCATCTGTCCATTCTTCCAACCATCCATCCATCCATCCATCCATTCATCTGTCCATTCTTCCAACCATCCATCCATCCATCCATTCATCTGTCCATTCTTCCAACCATCCATCCATTCATCTGTCCATTCTTCCAACCATCCATCCATTCATCCGTCCATTCTTCCAACCATCCATCCGTCCATTCTTCCAACCATCTATCCATCCATCCTTCCATCCATTCATCTGTCCATTCTTCCATCCATTCTTCCATCCATTCATCTGTCCATTCTTCCATCCATTCATCTGTCCATCCATCCATCCATCCATCCACCCATTCTTCCATCCATTCATCCGTCCATTCTTCCATCCATCCCGCTTATCTGGGTTTGGGCCGCAGGGCCAATAGTCTAAATAGCATAGCCCAGTCTTTACTCAACTGGCAACCTCTTCCAGCTCATCCAGGAGGATGGAGAATTGTGAGAGATACAAGCTCTCCAGCGTGTGGTGTGTCTATCCCAGGGCTTCCTACGACGAGGACAATGCCCCAAACCCCTTGCCTAGGAAACATCCTACACAGACGGCCAAAGCACCTGAACTGGTTCCTTTCAACCCCATCAGTTAGCATTTTTACCAATCCCTGGATTTGTTTATTAAGGGAAAAAGCATGTCTGTACAATATAATGTAAGTTACATTTTTGGTATTCTCAATAAATCTAATGAAATGTTGTTTGAATAAACCAAAGAGATGTGTCTAAACAGCTTTTTTCTTAGAAAATGTTATCCAAGCTGTGGTGTGTGGTGCATCATTTTGGGAGTAGTTTAATCCACATTGTTCCTTTGATATTCTGGCAGCAAGGCGGAATACGTGGGCTAGACTCAAAATAAACTACTATACAGTGTTCACTGTAATGAAGAAACATGTCACCCAGGGAAACTGCATGGCTCAGTTGTTCTTTAATTGTTCAAACAACAGAGCTTAATGGCACAGGCAAAAAATATATGTTGGGTGTGTGCATTCTTTTTAGTGGGCTAAATTCATTAGTGGCTTGTGTAAAGTTCAGAATAGGAAATATATGGAAAATTCTCATTTTATGAAAGAATGGATATGTCAGTTCACATTAAAACTACAGATACCCTGATGTTACACGTTGCTGTAGTGCTAAAGGGAGTCTGTGAGGTTGTGCTTAATTGTATGTTAATAAGGGCAATCACAGCATCTGTCCTCTCAGTTGCTTCAGCTGTATCAGTGGTGAAGTAGTTCGCTGGAGCTGACCTGAGCTTAAAAACCTCTATTGACTGACTGACCCCTCTTCTTCACTCCTGATGATCCACAATGACCTTGGCCTAAAAAATCCATTAGTACTTTGGAGCAGGGTTTACCTGCTTTGCTGCTGCTCATGACAAATGCTGTTTTTCTGCAACAGTCTTCACGGTTGGCGACTTTGTGTGGGTGTGAGTGCAATACCGATTTAATGGGAAGCCTTTAGTCCCTGCAGATCCCGCCCGTTGCCTTTGGAAACATAGTAAGCTCTGCATAATGCTGTCTTTCTTTGGTTTCCTGCTCCAAATTGATTGTGTGTGAGTAAAACTATCAGTGTTTTAACCACTTATGAAGCACTTGTGGATAATTGAAAATGTGTGCAAGTGAAATTGCGGTTAGCAGCTTTCCTGGCGCTGAAAACAAACTGCTGATCAATATTTCCTCAACCACTTGCAAGGGTCAGAAAGCTGTGTGCTAGCTAGTTAGCTAAACAGACTAAAGCTTTGTTGCATTACTTTAAACTTTTACCTTTAAGCTTCAAGTAGAGTTTCTTGTCTAAAATGATGCATTTGTTTGTCTATAAGAAGCAGGAGATTTTTTAATTTCCATGTTACAAATAAATACATAAATAAATGAAATACACTGAGTACCAGCTGTTTCTCTTCTTTGCTTTAGCATGGCAACAGTAATACACTCCACCGCTCATTATTTCCCTTGTAACAGTCAGACCTTTCATCTTATCTCTATAAGCAGCTCTCATTCTAATTATATTACTGTATATTTCACAGCAGGATTTGTTGCAAATTAAAAAGCCATCTAAACTCCCACAAACTATTAAGTATGCATATAAAAAGATTCTGTTTAACATTTTTCTTTAATTATTGCAGGTGTTTCTAATTTATAGGACTAAAAAAGACACATTTCAACAGCAGCAACAAAAAGATCAAATGGACCTGCTTTACGTGTTTAAAGCATAACATTTTATGTGCTTCCTCTATGGTGAAACCTGACAGGCTCTGG